AACATGGTAAATTTAAAATGAGAATACAAAAATAAATGTACTTCATCTACTTCTCTAGCTGTAAATGTATTTATTTAACTGTCCTAGCATTTACTGTATGAAGGCAGGCAATCTATTACAAATCCTGTTTAAATTTACTTAACCAGGAAAAAAAATATTTCTTCCAATTGCCTTTCTCTGCAATTTTCTAGCTCCAGTACATTTGCACTTTGGTACCAAACAAGTAACTCTGTATTCAAGATAATGCTTTACTATAGTTTTTTTTACAGGGAAAACATGTTTTTTTTTTCTATTAAGTTTAAATCGCCTTCCTTTTTCTAAGGCTTATACAAGGGAGTATCTTGCCAGCTTTAGATGTTACAGAGCAGCACTAATGGCATGGTGACTATGGACAAGGGTACTCCGATATTTCTCTAAATCGGCCAATCTACCTTTTACTCCTGTGTGCGTTTCAGCCTATTTAACATAAACCTAAATTTATATCTTGAAATACAACAGACATATGATTTAGAACTAGGTTTGTCTTTCAAAGAAGATATTGCTAGAGGCAACTAAAAATGGACCCTGTAGGAATATATCAAACTTCCTAATTAATTTAGTTGGAGTATGATTCCAGCAGTGAGCTACAAGAAGATCTTTAGGGTCAAATTTCAAATATACAAATCAAATTCTTTTTCTTAAAGAAGAGTTGGAAGTCTGGCCAAGGATCAACATTTTGACCTCCACCCACTATCCAAAAGTCGTTTTAATATAAACATGACTTCTTCATTTCTATGGATAAATGCCAATAACTGTATGCTGTTTTATCTGAAGGTAAGAAAAAAATCTAATATGTGTATTCCATACACATTTTCCTTCAGAGTTTCCCTCACACTGCTCTATTTACCTTTCTTGTTGAATGCAGCTAGTAAATGGCTAACTTTTTTTACTCTGAAAAATTATATTCCATTCACTTAGCAAGGCTCTGATTTGAGTATAGTTGAATATCATCTGCTGGGCAGAAGGCTGGCAGTGTACCTAGATACCCCAGGCAATGAGCCAGCTGTATGATGATGATATGAGACTGGAGGAAATCTGGCCATCCAAAACATCTTGCAATAAAAAAATGTTTCCAGTGGACTCATGCTTTGCCAATAACACAACTATCTAGCTAAATTCATAATATGCTCTGGTTTCTTTCATATGTTATCCTCTTTGCTTTATTAAGGTTTACAGTTTGTACTTTAGCAATAGATTATTGTAAGTCACCTGCTTTACCAAGTAATAAATAATCAGTCTTGCACAAACAAGCATGAATGTACTGTGTTTTAATAACATATTTTGAAAGTCTGACATGAGCATATCAAGCACAGTGATGCGTAATTTGGATAGATAGAGATTGTCAGTGAATTATTGTTTGTTGGCCAAAGTCTGTAGAGATAGACAAGTGGCTGTTTCTGTAGCCGTATTCCCAAAAATGCATGAATACGTGCAAAAACATTCCTCGTCATCTCCCTTATTCGAGGACTTTAGCTCTCTGTTCAGACATCTGTTCAGCTGCAGTTGTCTGTCAACTTCATCCAATTTTCTCTTAATGCAGAGTACCATGTACCATGAACTATTTCCATGGTACAAATGAAAGAACACCTCTGAACATGAGATTGACAGAAACAAATTGGAAAGGATCAGCAGTGTTTTGTTAAACTGTAATTATAAATGTTTATCAAAGTAATGGTCTACAAGTGTTTTCTTGAGCCAAGGAAAAGCTAAAGGAAAGGAAAATGGATGAAGTAACCGGCTTAATTGGGTTGCAACAGGCTGAATCAGCAACTATGAATGCTTATTTATTTAAGAATGTGAATTTGTTTAAATATCAAATATAATATAAGTTCTGACAGAAACAAAATATTTTGCTATCATTTACTATCCTTAAACACAGCAAAATAGAGCAGGTAGCCACGGTGAAGAGAAGTAGCCACAGAATAGACATGGTGTATGTAACCTGAACCCACTCTAGTGTTTATAGAACTGACTTCCTTTCCTCTCACTTTTGTCCATGAGTTAAAATGTCGTTCTATAGTCTATTTATTGTCCCTTTAGGATGTTGTTGAAATGTGTTATTACCTTCCACAAGGATAATGTGATGTGAGTCTAGCAACTGACTGGTGTAAAAAGCTATATATTCAGTTTCTAAGTGTTCTTAACTCCTAACATTCTGCTTTCCTTAACAACTTTGTTATTCAGCTATTTTATATGACAAATATTTTGAGTTCACCATTAACTAAAACATTAATGGTAATTATATGTGTTGGATTATTTTTAGGTTGGTACATGAAGTTTGAGATGTGAGGGTTTTTTGTTGTTACTTACCAATGGCATACAGTTCTATTCCTTGGTCTCGTATCTTTTTTGATGGTGCAACAATGTCATCTTGTGATTTACCATCGGTGATTAGAACCCCGATTTTGCGAGATCTGGATCTCATACCAACTGCAGCCTTAAAATTATTTTGTAAGATGAAATTTAAAGCCAAGCCTAATGAAATAAATCAAATATCAGGAAGAGTGAGCACATGGATGACAAATAAAGCTATTAATTAATGGAGTTTGTGACGAGTTAAGTAACATTGTGATTTACCTGTAAGAGTATTGCCCCCCTTGTAAGGCAGATTTGCAACAGCATCCATCAATGACTTCTTATTGGGGTGAGCATTAAGCTGCCACTCAGTTCTGGGATCTCCACTGTATTGGGCAAGTGCTAACATAGAGACAAAAGAAGAATTAGATGTAATACCAAGCATGAAAAAAGGCACAAAAAATACATAACTATTTAAACATCATATTAAAAAGCAAAGGACATCAGTTAAAATGACCCAAAACTGGTATATATAGAAGCGGAAATAGAATGGTCTTATATTTATTAAACAAATAATGTTTTTAGAATACAATCAGGTTGGTTTACTTAAGGAGTAGAGAATATTCACCTTGCAATAAAACCCACTGTTGAAGTTCACAGTTTAGTAAATAAGGTTACGTTGTGTTCAGTTCAATCTTCTAATTATGTGCAAATTCTGTTTTTAAAATTTCTTGCACAAGACTTGATATTCCAAATGAACTTACTCTCACCGAATAAACTAAGCTAAGTGAACAGTTTCTAAGTGAACCCGTTCAGTAATTCAACCCTGATAATGGTATCATATACATTAAACCTTACTATATTAATCTGCATCACTTACCGAATTGTACTCGCTCAGAACCAATCTCAAAGACTTCAACCAATCGTGAGATGAAAGCTCTGACCGTCTTGAAATTTGGACGGCCAATACTCCAAGAACCATCTACCAGCAAAACTATGTCTGCGGCAGCATTGGTTTTGCATTCCAGGCCTGTCACATTGATTATAGAAAAAGGTTATTAAAGTATGAGGGAATATGGTTTACCAACAGATAAAAATAAGTCTACATAAAAGTAGAAACAAAGGAGAAAAGTATGTTGATGGCAAAAGGAAAGAAAGCAGTGGAACAAGAAGAAGACATAGACATCCACCAGATAAATAACCCATCACAATCACATTAAAACATAAAAATACAAATATAAAACATGATCAAAGACATCAGCATTCTCCGCCTTGAACACTTTGTTCCTGTGGCAAATTGTGCAGCCTGTTGGGGAGCCATTTCATTTATAAAACTGATGCCGCAATAATAACTTGAGTTATTTCATGTACACCTCTGACACGGGGTCCAAAGAGAGTAACATAGGCATATAAAAGCAAGTTCTCTTCTGCTTAAAATTAGAAACCTAAACTTTAGTAACAGAACAGAAATATGTTATAAAGGTTAAACAGATAAACAGAATAATAATTATATCATTTTGCAGGCACATATATTCAGCATGATGCATGATGTAAACACAATGAGCTTCACCAGTAAATTTGTAGACTTCTGTTTAAATTGAAAAGATAAAGTAGCAGGAATGTCACAATGTTAAGGAGATACAGTTTAATGTTAACAAACAACTTTAGTTGTTGATATCACTTGAGCCAAAAAATCCACATAGTGTACATTCTGTTCAGAGCATTATTCTGACTGCGGTTCCTGAATAGAGGTCTTCTAAACATGTAGGGTATCCCAAAATCAATAAATAATGTGTTGCTTTACTGCTCCCATTATGACCTAGCTACAGAAAAACAATAGTTCACAACAGTCATATTTTTCAAATAATGTAATACATTACATATATGGGGAATGACACAGCTCAGTTTTTCATTAAAAATATACAGGCCTTTATAGATTTGACATTAAAGAAAACCTCTGCTGAAAGAAATACATAGGTTACTATTGCTAAATTTTTTCTGAATTGTTTGTTTTCTCACTTTCGTCCTGATCCTCTGGATTTATTAGTTCCTGAATCCTTTACCCGCAACCAGTATGTAACCAGTGAAGTCAAACCTCCTGATCTGTGAGTCACTGGGGTTGATTCACTAAAGGAGTAAGGAATGTTCACTCTACAAGGGAATTTTCACTTGATAGTGGAATTTTTACTTAGCTTAGTGAATAAGGTGAACACTCACTTTGCCAATAATACCCAATAAAAAACAAGGAAATGTGAGATTCCTCACATTCATTAAGCTAGGTGAATATTCCCTTGCAGAGTGGACATGGTCTTCTCCTTTAGTAAATCAGCCTCTCTGACTCAAAAGAAATTGAAGCCATAGGATCAACATGGCAGACAGGGAAGCCAGCATTGTTGAAAGGAATAGCAATGGCTGCCCATGGATTTTTTCTAGATAGGTTTTCTTTAAAGCAAATCCGTTCTGTGTAAAGGAAATCATGGTACAGTGCAAACTAACATGCTACTGAAATTTATGTTTCTATTTAAACTCATGCTGTTACTGTAAAATAGTCAGCAGTAAAACATCAGAGGTTTTGGTGCTTATTACTTAAATCCCTGACACTTGCCGAAAGCTGCAAAGAATTTGCGCAGTCAGAGCACTTCATAATGCTCCATGCTGTGAGAACCTTTTACCATTGCAGCACCCTGAGTGGATTTTATACTCCGCTATAGCATTAAGCCGGATATTGACAGATAGTAAAAATATGTTAATGTTTATTTAGAAAATTGTTGCATCAGCAAACATGCTTTTCTAGGAAGCAGATTCTCCTTAGATTATGGAAGTGTGTAAATAAAATAAGGCTGCCTTAACATTGTTTGGCCATTGTTAAATGTTATATATAAGCATATGGATCATTCATGAGTTTTCAATGCCAAGATCTTTCTTTTTTTTAGTGCAGAAGTATGAACTTTCCAAGCTGATACTGTAAACATCTAATAAGTGAAGGATATTCCTTTAGGGGTTGCATCAGTATCAGGAAAGAGGTCAGGTGGTAGTTTGGGTTAGTGTTATGGCCAAGGATTAGTGGTATGAACTTACAGCTTAGGGGTCTAATAAAAAATTTGCTTTGCTATTCATCGAGCAAAATTGCATGTGCATTCATTACCAGCTGTTCTGAGAATGGGGAAAATCAAATGTTCTTAGGACATTTTCTCTTATAGTTGAATGGTTTTAAGAATATAAAGAATATAAATCAGCTGGTACTTGCTCTCACTTGCGGCTGACAATAGCAATAGTATGTCATGAATAGTCCTATAAATTCTGATAACACCAGTATTACTTAAAAAGTAAATATGCAGGCTGCAATACTTTAACAATTCATGCAGCCTCCTGAATCAGAATAGATTATCAGAGCAGTGAGCAGATTTACTTTTTCTGTTTTGCAACATTGTTTCTACTTGCCAAAGACAATATTCAGTACCAGTTTTTGGGATTATTATGTACAGCACTTCTGTGACTAATATATCTACTTGTAACAGTAATACCGGTGGTATCGGTTCAAATTTTTTAGATACATGTTTTATAATAATTACAGTACTTAAATTCATTTTTAAGATTTAACTCCTGAGTTTAGTGTCACTTGAAGATCAAAGATATCTGAATAAAAAGCTCTATAATGGGACATAGTTGAAAAAAAAAACTGACAGCAGATTTAACCCTCACCTACTCTAAAATTAAACAAAAATTTTGTATTTAGATATACATTATAGTGTATGTACAGGAAAACACGTTTTTGTTTCTTTAGATAGAGTAGGGAAGGCCTACGGTCTTGTTCACACCGAAAGCTGTGCATTCCAGAGTGGTAGCTGCTGAAACACACCGTGATCACTCATGTAACTTCCCACCCTGTTCTGGGGTGGGAGGGGGCGTGGGTGGTACATTGAATTCAATGGCACCGATCCCACGCCCCCCACCCGCAGTGCGATCGGACGCATGGCAAAAGTTTGCCTGCGTTCCGTTCCACTGCAAACGCAAAAAATAGGACTGTTGTTGGATCTTTACAATTTGAACATATGATGAACCAATAAATACATTTTTGAAAATATGTTGTAGGAGTATGATTACATTTTATATATTGTCCCTTTGTTTTGTTATGCTCCCCTTAATTTTGCTAATATATATCAGAAGCTTATAAAAATAATGGTTTCATACGCTTTTATGCAACAGATGTGTTTTCATTCCCATATAAGTCAATGAAAATTAAAAACTTGCTTAAAACAGGTCAAATTGCAGGTCCAATGCACCTATCAAATGATCTCAGACGCATCTTAACTTATTCAAACTGATGGTATTGACACAATCACAAAGCCTTTTAGCACAGGCCCTTACAATGATCACTTCCAAGAACTTGGTAGGTGACCCAACAAAGACAATAGCAGAGTCAATGTTCTTGGAATAATTTAAATAACCTTAACGTATAACCATTGTAGGTACATGGCAAATAAATGTCTCTCTGTAGATGTCTAATCAAGTTTAATCTAGACTACACTATATTTTATATTTTATATAATTGATCATAGTGCACTACTAATGCAAATGGGTTCATCTCTGCATTTCCAGCATATTGTATTCAATACATCTATATAGTTGACATTTACTGTGCCATTATCTCTTGGAAATTTACCAGCATCAACAGTGACATCAGGTGCATCTGACTTGGTAGTCATTTCTTCTCCAACTAAAGGTGCACTCTCTCCTTGCTCAAACACTCCAAAAACATTGACCTTGTAAGATGTTGATGCCCTGCACAGGTACAAATGATTGAGGTATGTTACTTCATAATTAAATTACATAGTTGACCAAGTTGTAATTTCTGAAATGCACTGTTATGAGAGGAGGAGTTGTAGATAATGTATTCTTTGAAAAACACTAACAAATTATAGCAGACTGGGAAACTTCATACCGCTACAAACACTTTGTGGATATAGGATTTCCTTACCACCTGTTTAGCAGTGTAGAAATATAAACAAACAAATATTTTATCATATGTTCCAAATGTATTCAAAATGCAACTGAATCAAAGCACAGAGTTTATGTTAATAAGGCCACATATCCGGAGGCACTTTTACATGTGGATGCAGATAACAAATCTTTCAAAATCAGCTTGGTTCACTCACTGTAAGCAACATGTACATATTATTTTACTCATTTGTATTTTTAAAATATAGTACGGTGTATGTAAATGTATGTATCAAAGTAGATGTAAATACAATCACTGAAATCTCATAAAATATTTAACAATAAATGTTTAATATTTTAAAATGTAATGTTATTTCAAACCACATTTTAGAGTTTTTTTAGATCTGAAGTTTTTATTAAAATAATACTCAGTGCCCTGTTATGGATTGATAACGCTCTGTCCTTGCCTCCCAATTGCTCTCTTTTACTGTCACTCATATGTATGACATACTCATAGTATGTTCTGTTGTTATCATCATTAGGAAGCCCATTCTAAGCAATGATTTGCAGCTGCCACTGAAGCAAGTGCATTTAGACAGGAAGTGGCTGCAAAGTAGCTAGAGGAGATCATCAGTAGGATGCTACAAAGAATTAAAAACCGTATTTAAAAGAAAAAAGTAATGGTTAATGTTGATAAAACACAATGCTTCAGCAAATTAAATGTCTTCTAGGTAGAGTTTACATTTACTTTAGCTTTTACATAAAATCCGTTATGATCCTAGAGTTTTTCATCAGAAATATTTTTTTTCTTTAATATGTCTGCATTGTAAATTTTTCTAGTTCTAGTATCTGTATTAACTTTACATTTATGTCTTTATTCAAAGAGGAAGTCTCACCAGAAAATGCTTGTTAAACCCCCTAGGGAACCCAGTGCCCATCACACTCGATACCATTCAAATCTGTACAAGCATTATAAAATAAAATGCAGTTTTTATTTGTCAGTGATCGCTGTGGCTCCACCCCAGTCTGAAACCCAATTTAGAAGTGTTCCTATCGGGGAGTTACAGCCAGCACTGAAGTCACCTCCCCCTCTTCATTCTGCAGCCTTCTGCCACCTTCTCTGGGCATAACAGTGCATGCAGGAGCACCCGCACAACCTCCTCCTCCTCTGAAAGCTGTGCCTTGCTCTATAAAGTAACTAAAAAATACTTAGCCCGGACCAGCCACCAGCCATTCAGGGGATAGAGAGTGGAGTAGCAACTGTTGGCCTGTGTTGTTGTGAATGTCAGCACGTGCAGGGAAACACTGTCATTTACAAAAACACAAGCCCACAACAAGACAAGCCAGTTGCTACACTAGACTCTATCAGACATTACTATTCCACACAGTGTTATGGTGGTATCTGGTTTAAACATCAAAGCATAACAATTTCCTATCACAATAAATGTGATTTCATTTTTGATTATTAAGCAGTTTAAAAAACTGCCAACTCTATATTGCAGAAACGGTTGAAAGAATTATCTCAAACATCATACACATTGCTAAAAAAAGGGATGAATTATGTGAAACATTATCTAGTAATTTTTCCTACCTGAGCTCTTCTAGAACCACAGTATTATCAAAAGGACCAACCATCATTTCTCCCAATTGCCTATCATCTCCTTCAGGATGATAGATGACTTTATATCCTTTCACTGCTCCTGGGGCAGGTTCCCAGGTCACTCGGAACGTTGACATAGTTGGTTCAGATGTTTTCAGGTTCCTTGGTGGTTTGAAAGGAGAAGCTAAATAAACAAAACAAAATTAATGAATATAACAAATGAAAATGGTGTGCCAGAACCTGAAAAACAATTAATCTAAAAACTCATAAAACAATTGTATTAGTAAAATTAGAAGAAGATAACGAGTTGACTGTGAATGTGGGCGTTGTTCATAGACTTACCATCATTTGTCTTGCCCAAACAAGTCAAAGGAGTACATTTACTAATATACTCCTGTGACCCTAAGTCAGCATTCAGCTACTGCCCACTATTTGTTTACAGCTGGAAAAGATCCTGACAATATTGCAATATTGATGGGATCCACCCCACTGCCCGATGGACAGTTGGCTTTGCCTCTCTACAGCCAAGACCAGCTGTGCCCACTCCCTCCCCTGTCTGTTCGTCCAATAAGCGCTGGAGGAACAGAGAGGGGAGGGGGATCACTGCAAGGTGCGGTGTCTGACAAACACCACTCTATGCAAGGAAAAGACCGTGAGCTGAGCGATCAGCAATTCATGATCACTCAGCTATTGATCTATAGAGCTGGCATGTGACACCTGCAGTGTCACATACTGCCTTTAAGTTTTTAAGTTTTTTACTCTGCCAATGCTTCTCCTTTAAGGCTTTAACACTAGAAACTAGTGAATTTTAAAATCTGGTGCACTAGTGTGCAACCACATCAATGCATTGGGTTAAATCCTGTTACAACCCAGATCCTGGTATAATCTATAGGGAATCAGCCATTCAAATTATGGGCCATCTTGATTTCTTGATTTTAAAACAGTCCAGATAAAGACCGAGCTGTGTCAAAATGCTACTGCTGGAAATGTGGATATTTATATTTTAATTTCTGCTATGCCTTTAAATGGTATAATAAAGCAAAGTTTTTCATTCTTTTGTGTTTTGGGATGTGCTCATGTGCTGATCCTTGGATAACTGCAAGTCAAATCTTGGTTTGTTAATTTCTACTTAAAATACTCATATTGAAGGGTTTGCAGCTTCCAGGATGAGCTTCATGTAATATTCTTGTTAGCTTAAAGTAAACCTGTACTGACAGAAATATTGGGGCTGCCACTGCTGACCTTTCTCTTGCAATACCTCTTGCTGGCTTTACTTACTTTCTGAAAGACTGATCAAGAACAAGCATACAAAGCAGGAAAGTCAGAGCTCTTAATCTCTCGCTCTTGCATACTCGTGCAAATCAGTGCAATGACAGGCTCCATACGTTCTCAGTAAAGGTAATGAGATTTGGTGATGGTGCTGAGTAGGGAGAATCATTGGTAAATGTTCAATCTTGTTTTACAGATTTACTTAAATCTACAAGCCACAGCACATGGTATATTATCAAGAGCATACAGAATTTGGTTAGCCAAAAATGTGCTCGCTTGATCTAAGCATTGATACACGAAAGATACACATTGACAGCACAGCATTTTAATTAAAGAATGTATAGAATATGTATGCTGTCCTAGAGGAAACTTAACAAAATATTCCATTGCAGAACTTGCAACTTATGTGGCTCAAGGGAAAATAATATTTCCTGGCAATCAGTCTATTGGCAACTATACTGTCTGTGTTTCATCTTTTATATACCATTATGTGATTCAGTCACTCTGAAGACACCAGTTCCATTCTGAGAAGTACCATAGTTGCCATCACAGTTTCCATGGATTGTAAATAGCACATTTTATGGCCCATGGGAACTAATCATTAAACTCAGTCCCAGACTTTTTCAACAAGAATTGCTGAGCATTGCACAAAATATAGTGTGCAGCTCTTGCAGATTACCAAATCATTCATATATTATTTAAACTACAGTAAAAAAATCACATTGCCACATATGGATTCATTTAAATGGTGTCATAATATGTAAGATATGTTGAGAGGTGAGAAGTTGTAATATTAAGCATGCAGGCCCTTGGTGAACATACTATGACTTTAAAGAAGGCTAGTGTAAGATGATGGCTATAAACATGAAATAGTTAAAGAGTGTAATTGGCATTTTAAACCTGCAAGGCTGAGCTAAAAAACAGATGTTAGTGATTCCTTCCAAATCTAATTCATAAGCTTTCTATACATGGAAGACTTTGTGACATTCTAACTATCCATGGGGTATAAATGGCTTCAGCAGAAGATCCTGGGATTTGCACAATTGTTTAAAGAGATCTAGCAAGTTGAAAATCTCTACAGAGTCCCACATTTATGGTTATTTCACTTTATGGAGTTCATCCACTACAAACGGAAAGAGCCATTAAAAGGTTTGGGTCAAAGTAAAAGAGTTAAAGTAGAACTGTGCCTTGGACATTAAAATATTTACATACTGTATTCTTAATAAGCAGTAAGTACATTTAAAGAAGTGTTCAGTTACCAGTGCCGCTGCAGCCAGTAAAGAGTAATTCATTCTCAAAGTTTGTAGCTGAAGCTTTTCAGTTTTACCTTCACTTGATCTCCTAGCTCAGCACCTTCCTCCTAGTGGTCACTTGACAGCTTGCCAGTCTGCTAATATCTAATGTAAACGCAGATCAGCTGAACAGGAATTAGAGGGAGAAGAGTGCCAAGACCAGACGTGAAATACTTTACTCCTTCTACTGTGACCTTTGAGAATAAATTGCTCCACAGTGGCCGGTCAGTGAGGTTGTATTTTAAAGCTTATTTAAATATGGTCCTAAATCCCCAGTATAATCTGGAATGACACCTTGCATTACTATTTATTATTTTTATGAAATAAATGTTATTGTAGGTTTACAGGGTTATTTACTAAAGAGTCGAAGGATTAAGCCAAAGCATCAGCTAATCCTACGGCTCACTTCGGATGCCGGAGCCCTCCGGTTCAGCCGAACCAAAGGGCTGCTGTACGGGCTATTCACAATAGCCCATACAGCAGCCGCAGGCAGGCGAGCGGCTCCGCCCAGCCCCCCCCCCCAGCTTCGC